GCAGGGGGGTTGTATATTGATTGTAATCTAGGGGATTACTATCGATAGATAGCACCTTTTAAATTTTGCTGATGTAGAGAATTTTTTTATGTTTACTAATTTCTGGTGATAAAAAAATTTGGCTCAGTCAAAGAAATAATATGCAAAAAGATTTTTACAATTATCTTCAAGCAACTGGTGGAGCTAAAGAAAAAGATAAAATATTCGAAGAATATGCTTGAAGAGAAGCCTTAGAAGAAGCAAATATTGAATTAAAAGAACTTATATTTGTTTGTTTTTATGAAAGATTTAGAGAATTTCTTGATGGAAATACTTGTTTATTCAAAACTGCAATATATTTTTTAGTTATTGATGATCAAGTTCCAGTTCAAACCAAACTAACAAAAAATGATTCATAGATTCTTTATGAATTAAAAGAATTACCAAATCTTAAAGTAACTGATTCAATTAAAAAAAGTTATAATCAAATTTCTGATGCTATTAATAGTAAGTTCAGAAGTATTAGAAACAAGAGACGCCGTAAACTTGAGCCTGAGCCTGTTGAAGAAATTGAAAATAGTGTTGATAGTAGTATTGCTGAAGAGCATATTGAGAGTTCTATTAATGAAATATTATCTTATTCCCCAAAAGAAGTTGAAAAAAGATTAGCAAATAATAAAAGACATAGAAATTGGAGGAGGGATTGATTATAAATTTATTTTTAATTTTATTTTTATTCATTTATTTAATAAATATTTATTTTACTCAGTTAATAACCGAGTAGATTTTTAACATTGTAAATAAATGACAGAAAAAAAATATATATATCAAAACAAATTGTAAATTCTTCTTGGTAAATTTTTAACCAAAAAAGAACAAAAATATTTTAATAAATTAAATAAATATTCTATTCAGTTAATAACTGAATAGAGTTTTATTCATATAATTCTAATAATAATAATGAATACTAAAAATGAGGTAAATATATTTTTATTGAGTATTTTGTTTAGTTTCTTTATCAAAATGTAAGTTATCGCTGTGAGATTTTTTGCTATTAGCAAAACTGAATTGCTCGTGTAGATTTTGATAACAAAATTTTGTGAAAAAAGTAGCATTAAACTTTGGTCATGAATAGTACTTAGTATTAGAAATATTGATTAAAGCAATGACAACAATTTATTCATATTTTTTTTATTTTTAGTTAACACCAAAACAAAAAGAAGACGAACTTGAACTTTTTCTTTTACAACTTTTACAAGAAAATTCAATCGAATGTAATACAACAAGAACAGATTATTTTGTCAATTCAATATTTACTTCTATTGGTGATAGTGGGATCGACTTATTTGATAATTATAGATCGATAAACTACATTATACAAATTAAAAACAAAGCGGAAAAATATAAAGTTGGACCAAGTGATATTTGAGAATTTTTTAAAGTATTAGCAAAACAAGCAGAAGGTACTATAGGATTTTTTGTTACAAATACTACTTATTCTTTAAATGCTCACAATGAGACAAGTAATTCGAAACAACAGATTATTCTTTGTCACAAAGATAATGTGATCGAAAAAATTAAAGCAACAAAATTAAAATTGGAAAATGAAGAGTTACAAAAAAATTCATTTAAATTAAATAATTTGGTAATTAAAAATCTTGAAATCGATTCTGATGAATCTACTGTATATTTGTTTGGTATAAAAATTGATGGAAGATGTAAAATTAGAAAAATGAGAATTAAATATAGTAATCATAGATATAAGCCATTTTAAGTCTATTCAGTATAATTACTAAATAGAATTTTAATTCTGTAAATTTTTATTTAAAATGGAATTTAAATTAAAAAAATATATTGCTAAACTTGAAATTACAGTAAAGAATTTGATTAATATTCTTAATGATAGCAAAGAATATACCTTAAAACAAGAATATTTCTCAGAAGCTATTCAGATTAATATTAAAAATAAATATAATAATACTTTAAAAGTTATAAAAAGCAAATATACAAACAAAATCAAACAAGAAACATTAAGACAATTAAAGAGAAAATATCCTAATGAAGTAATTAGAAGAAAAAAAATTAAAACAAGACAACCAAAAATTATTGTATTAACAGGTGCTATCGGTGTAGAAAAATCAACATTTGAAGAAAAATTTATGATTTATTTAGAAGAAAAAAGATATAAAATTTATCGTCCGGTTGAAGCATCTTTATTACTTGATGATGAATTAAAGCTTTTCTGTAAAGATTCAAAAAATAATGCTTTATTTTTTCAATATGTGATTCTTAATTTCTACAAGAAACAAGCTGTGGAAATTAATATGATTGATTTATATGATTTTGTAATACTTGATCGAACACATATTGATACTGAAGTTTTCATATTAATGAATACTGAAGATGAAGAAGTTATCGATTTTTTAGGAAAAAAAAGACAAGAAATTAAAATAGAAAATATTAACAAAGTGCTTTATTTAAAACCTACAGACAAAAATATGATTAAAAGATAATGAAAAAAAGATCGAGAAGCAGAAACTTATACTGATGAATATTTAATCAAATTATCTGATTTTTACAAGAAATTAATTAATAAAATTTATTTATCTTATAATAAAATTGAAAATAATTGTACTGTTGAGGAGTATAAGAAGAATTATTTTAACAAATTATTTAATAAACTTACTACTATTTAATATAAATTTATTTTTATAAATATTTTTTATTTTATACTATCTGGATTGATAGTATAGTAATTATTTTCTATTTAGTCAAAAGACCAAATAGAAATTTATTTACATAAATTTAAAATTTTTAATTTTTAAATGTCATATCAAAATATTATAAAAATTTTAAATTTAATATTAAAAATAATATTGAGTATAAAACTTTACAAGAAGAAATAGAAAAAAAAGAAAATTATTTTTATTTTTGAACAAATTAATAATTTTTTAATTATAATAGCTTTGTTAATGGTTATATATCAATTATTTTTTAAAATATCTACTAGTTAGTCTTTTGACCAACTAGAATTTTATTTATACAAAAATAAAAATGTCAAATATTTTTTATATTTACAATGCTGCTGATTCATCAACTTTATACAACAAATATTATTTACTTCATTTATACACAATTAATCCTGAAGAAAAAAGATTTACATTTAATGTAAAGATCAAAGAAGTATTTTTTGATATTAAATTAATACAACAAAGTAAAAGTATATCAGAATATATTGATGAATTTGATCCATCAAGTTATGAAATTATTGAGAAACAACCATTTGATTTAACAGAAAAACATAAATTTATTCGTCTTTATTTTAAAAATCTAACCAAAAAAAAAAAGCATTAAAGTTGATTATAGAAGAAAAGTTTTAATCGGTAGATGTTGAAAAGAATCAAGAAAAATTTGAGGAATATTGGCAACAATATGATACTTATTCAGATGATAATACTTGTCATTATTGAAAAATAGCACATGAAAATAATTTTGAGTTAGTTGGATGGTATCAAATTAACAAACAAACAATAACAAACAATATAGAAATAACTTTGATGATATAACAAAAACAGAATATACAACACAAATTTCTCTAATATTACTATATTGGAATATAGAATGTAGTAGTACAAGAGGTCCAGGATATTTTTCTGTTGCAGAAGAACAACAAGATTATGTATATATGATTCAAATAGATTTTTGCTATCTATCTGATCCAATACTATTTAAACATTTCTGTTTAACAAAAATTTTAGTAAATCAAGAATTATTTGAAAAAAAATATAGCAATATACAAATTATTAACGTTTAATCTCAAAAAGAATTAATCATAAAATTCTTCGAGTTGATCAATAATTATTTGCCTTCTTTTGAGATTGGATATAATACTGGAGGATTTGATTAGAATTTTATTTTAAAAAAAATATATTTATTAAATATTGAAAAAGAAATTAGTCAAATATTAAATCAAGATATAGTAAATAATATCAGAGAAACCAAGATAAAAACAGTTGAAAAAGATATTGATAACAAGATGCAAAGAAAAATTTATAGGATTGAAAGTTCTAATCGAAGCATAAAAGTAAATCTAACTGAAACAATGATCTGTGAATATTATCAGATAGCTGGAATAGTTTTTATTAATCTTTTAGTTTGAGCAAAAAAACATTTCCCACAGAGATAAAAAATACTTTAGATGTTGTATTAAAACATTGTAAATTATCAGAAAAAGTAGATTTACTATATATACCAGAATTAGCAGAAAATTTACATAGCATGTTTGTTTACGTTAATGCAATTAAATTCAAGGATAATATTCAATTATTAACAAGATTAGCTAAACAATTATCAAACTTAACAAAGATCCCAATAGAAAAATACAAAGAAGCTATGATAATACAGGATATTTCTATTTTAGACAAATATGCGATAGAATTAGCATATTATTGTTTGGTTGATACATTATGATTACATGAGCTTTTGATTAAACGAAATATAATTGGTGATTATATACAATTTGCAACTTTAACTTGTGTTATAATATCAAATGTGTTTACAAATAGTGTTGGTTGTCTGGTGAGAAATTTTTATGGAAAAAATGCAGCAATACATGATATGTTGGTTTCATCTCGTAGAAAAGAAAAAGTAATAGAAGAAAAAATATGAGGATAGTCTTGTCTTGAATCCAAGAAAAAATCCAAATAATCACCCTGTTGCTGATGTAGATTTTACATCTTATTATCCAAATACTATAATCACAAATAATATTTCTTTGGACACTTGTGTTGATATTGATTCACAAGAAGAAAATCTAAATGTAATAACTGATAATGAAATAATTTATGGTAAATTTAAATAACATAATAATAATGAAACAAAAATAGGATTGATGCTACTAATGTCTAAAAAGTTATTAGCAGACCGTGCTATAGCAAAAAAAAATATGAAAAATGCTAAAAACAAACAAGAAGAATTCTATTATAATTCTTTACAAAATGCTCTTAAAACAATTATAAATTCAATTTATGGTAAAACTGGTTATCAATTTTCACCATATTATCTTAAACCTGTTTCTTCTTCAGTCACAAGTTTTGCATGCTCAAATCTTAAAAGAATGATACAATATGCTAAGCAAAAAGGTTATATAATAATTTATAGGGATACAGATTCATCTTTTTATATAATATTAGAATATTTATTTCAATATTTAAATATAATATAAAGAATAAAAAAATATCACCAAATATTCAAAGAAAGATAAAACAACTCTATTGGTATGAGATAGTCAAAAAAACTATAATACAATCAAAGATTCTTGAAAAAGAAATAAACAAATATCTACAAGAGTTAACAGATCAACCATATTTGAAGATAGCATATGAAAAAACAATGATACTAGCTTTATATTTATATAGAAAACAGTACTGTGGATGTATACATAGAGAAGATACTGAATTTATTGAATTTGATAAACCAAAACTTTTATTAAAAGGTCTTAAGGTGGTAAAAAGAAATATATCAGAATTTTACAAAACAGTTGCTAAAGAATTAATTTGGTCTTCATTAAATTACGAGAACAAACAGATTTCAGTTGAAGAAACGAGTTTAAAAAGTAAAATATTTAAAGATGTTTCATTAGATCTATTCAAGCTTACAGCTAAATATGATCCAACAACTAATCAACAAGTAAGCTTAAAATTTTTTTTTAATATAGAAGAACATAGAGAAAAAGGTGATAAAACCAATAAAGAAAACAAGATAGTGATATCATATGTAAATAGAATGGAATATAAATATAAAATAAAAATCGAACCAGAATATTTTTACTATTTAATAACATGTATACCAAACATATCAAGCATTTCAAAATTAATGCTTCCTTTTGATTATTTGTTGCTAATAGGGAAGAAAAAAATCTTCAAATTAATATTGTACACTATTTCAATAGCTTACAAGATATTTGTGCTTCTTTATTAAAATGT